ATATTAAGTCGTCAGTATTTAATTCTCAATATCAATGTTTGTTTCTGAAAGTTTGGGAATCTATTTGCAATTGCATTTTTTTTAAATAGTTGTTGACGTGAAAACCATGATTGCTCTTTCTTTCTTTTTTTTTTTTTTTTTTTGTCAAGTGTAAAATTGTAGTAACACACATCACTGAAAAAGACAATAATAATAAAAAAAATTCAAGCGTGGTCAACAACTAAGACCTCATCAGCTTAACAAATCCCCTCAAATCAAGGCCGAAAAAGCCTTGTACGCTGATGATCTAGCAATATGGCAGAGTCATGACAATTTAGAAAGTGAAGCCCAAAGAATAGAGACTTAGAAGACTGCATGAGTACTGCTAAAGATGGAAACTTGAGGTTAACTATACAAAGACGGTTTACACAATCTTTACCAAAAGCCATCAAGTAGCAAGGAAGAATATTAACCTGAGGTTATACAAGCACCAATTGATGAAAGAAGAGCATCCTACATATCTTGCAGTCGCACTTGACCGGCAGCTGGGCCTTAAGAATCATTCAGAAAACATAAGGAATAAAGCATTGAGGCGGTTGCGGTTATTGACGAGACTTGCAGGTACAGCTTGTGGATCAGATAAGGAAACTCTGAAGGGCTTGTATCTCGGATATGTTCGCTCTGTGATAGAGTATAACAACTCGCTGCTTGCAACCTGCTCCAAGACAAACATGGTTACTCTTGACAGAGTACAAAATAATGCCCTCTGATTAATCTGCGGAGCTATGCGGTCTACTCCAACTGCTGCATGTGAAATCCATGCAAATGTGGAATCCCTTTGGTTGCGGAAAGAAAAAGCCACTTTAGAAATTTATGAAAGATACATTAGAAAGAATCGTAACCATCCTAATAGACACCTTATTAAAAATTGGGAATAAAAAAAAATTTAAAAAAAAGCACACATCTGTTCTACACTGTGTACATGAGGTACAGGACAGATACCACCTCCATGAAAGACGTCAGGGCACTCAGAATGTTGCAAGAAACTTACCACCACATGCTCGCATTGATTCTTACCCCGAAGAATGGATACATGTTTATACTGATGAATCTACATTCAAAGATACCATTAAAGCAGTTTACGGAATCTACATAGGTGATCCTGGCGGATCTATTGAAGAGATATTTATTTGATGCATGCGGGGAATTCTGCTCAAATTATGAAGCTGAAATAATCGCACTAGTAACAGCAGTATACCACCTAAAGACTGTAACGGATGTTTCCCTTCAAAGGCCCAAAATTTTGTCATCTTCACAGATTCAATGTCTGCTCTTCAAACTCTGGAGGGCAGTGAACCCTGCAGAACTGACATAGCTAAGATAATTCTAGATGCTGATCAGCTTATTAACTCATACAACATCATGATAGCAATGCAGTGGATTCTAGGCCACTCCAGCACACCATGTAATGACAGAGCTAACAGACTGGCAAAGAAAGGAGCAACACAAGAACAACCACCTACAGCGACAACCCTACAGACAGCAACAACACTTATAAAAGCTATAAACAAAGAGACGTTGCTGAACAGATGGGCAATGGGAAACACTAGAAGAGAGGTTTATAGACACATGGCTAGCCCTGATCCTAACGACAGCATTACCGATTTAACAAGAAAGGACCAGGCCACCGTCTTTAGACTCAGAACACAACATACTCCACTCAATGAACATCTAAACAAAATACAGCCACAACACTTCCCATAGTGCCAGCTATGTAACTACCCCTACGAAACTGTTGACCATCATCTCTTTGAGTGCCCAAAACTCAATGAGACTAGAAGAATGCTACTCCCTCCGAGACCAGTCAAGTGGAACGTCTTGTACGGAGGAAAAGAACAGCTTGTGAAAACATGTAAATTCCACTAAATGGCATTGGGCCAAAGGGCGAAAGCTCATGCGCCGCTGGATCGAAAACAACAAAAACAACAAATCTCCTCAAAAGAGGATTGGAACCTATGAGCACCGAGTACACAACCAAGCCACTGCTTCCTAGCAATGACTACTTTAACATCACAAAAAAAAAAAAAAACGTCTGAAATCAGACATATGTTACCTGTAAGCTCCAGAAACTCCACACAGTTATCCATGTTGTACCTTGCAGCCAGGTCTGCCGGGGTTTCTCCATGCACTGTCCGTTTGTAGATGTTTGCACCCATGTCCACAAGGAAAATCAGCACTGGCAGGTGACCCCAAGCGGCAGCGTGATGTATGCAGCTGTACCCTGTGTGTCCATTAATGACCAGTGAAGTTAAAAACAGAAACTGTACCACATAAACAGACAAAGAAACTAATAAAAGCTTTCAAACAAATGAGCATAATCTTTTTCTGTAGGAAGCTGCATTGATATCATCTGAAGGTCTTGGATTCGAATTCACATCGCATCGAAATTTCTCAAAAATCATCTTGACTCCCTGGCGGGCCCAGTCTTATATAGGTACGTGGTAAGTGCAGGCAGGTCGCCACGAAGTTTACATGAAGTGGGAAAAGAATGGGGGGGGGGGGGGGGGCGGGGGAGTGCTTAACTTCACCCCGCCTTAAACATCTTTAGGTAAAAATTCAGGTGGGTGGAAGCGGAAGGGGAGGGGGTGTCGTGTTCAAACCCCAAACCCCCCCCCCCCCCAACCTTCCAAAGGGGCACAACATTTTTACGTCTTCAGATAAACAGTGAAGAAGAAAAAAACAGAAGAATCGTAATTTCAACTATACAATCATAATTAAAAAAACAAGGTCGACGTTAGTTAATTCGCTGGTGGAACCTCGTACATCACCGAAGAAGGGTTGCCGTAACTGCTATGTTCCTTTGCCTGTAGAAACCACACAAAACGTCCGCCACTGTCCCGTTTAAAAAGCAGTGAAAAACCTGTCAGCCCCAGCAAAATCTTAAAGCTTACACAAAGTTAAAATTTAAAAGGAAGCTTTCAGATGTGTAAACACGAACTATCCCACGAAAGACATGCAGCTCACTGTTAACAAAAATTGGCACTTACGATAGTCTGTCTCATATGCACTCGCAAAAGTAAACTTCATTCTGAACTAAATCGACAACCCGCCATTTTAGTGTAGTAAACAACATGTTGCGAACACACACGTATATATATATACATTGTAGAACCAGGACAGTCAACCCAGTAAATGTGCAACGAACTGCGCGTTCCTTGAAGGGTGTGCTTTCTTTTAAAAAGAAAGACTGGAGAAGAGGAATGCAAAGGAAGAAGAGAAATAGTTTCATAAGAAGAGGAACAAGTAGAATAATGAAACTGTAAGGGGGAGGAGGGGGAAAGAGGAGGTGGAGGAGGAGGAGGAGAAGAAGAAGAAGAAAAAGAAGAATAAGAAGAAGAAGAAGAAGAAGAAGAAGAAGAAAAAGAAGAAGAAGAAGAAGAAGAAGAAGAAGAAGAAGAAGAAGAAGAAGAAGAAGAAGAAGAAGAAGAAGAAGAAGAAGAAGAAGAAGAAGAAGAAGAAGAAGAAGAAGAAGAAGAACTTGTTCGGCTTGTTTATTAATTTTATAGGATTTGCAACCATATGCTGAAACTGGCTCTTTATAGCATTTTTTACTCTTTCCTAACCTTCATTGACATGGATTAATACATTAAATGTTCTTTATTTTACAAAATTCAAATTTGGCCTGTCCTTTCATGATTATCTCTGTGATGCAACTTACGTCTGATGTTATATATGTGCTTATATATTTAAATTAACCACACATTGCACAAAGCAATACGCGACACAAAAAGAACGCGTCTCAAAAGAGGCCGCTCTTGGATGTCAAAGGCTGAGGATTTGATCCAGCAGGTATATGACCTACACGTTATTAGTCATATAAAGGAATGGACGAATACACCATTAGACATGCATGGCATCTTTAAGGTCGTCTTTACACTCGGAAGGTACTGCCGGGATCAAATTCCTGCGGCCGTAGACACAGAAGTAACGTAAATTAATAGATCAGCATTCAGACCCAGAAGAGATCATCATCTATAAGGCTCAAGGTAAGCATGGACATACACAGCGCTAAGAAGAGGGAAAACAATACAGGAGGACAGCGACGCTTACCATACAACCACGTCAAACATGACTATGGAAAAAGCCGCTGCTTCTAGAGCTTTAGCATAGGTATCCGAGCAAACCGCCACACAGGCAGTTATTGTATCAGACTCCATGAATGTGCTTCAGAAGGTAGCAAAAGGCGGTATGCGTTCTGAATGGGTAGAAAGCGTTCAAAAATCGCAATTAACCTCCGTAACCTGAATCTACACCGGGTCATGCGGGCGTAAAGGGAAATGAGTGAGCTGACCAACTGGCAAGCACTGCACTAAGAACTGCGGGAAAAAGCATGGACAGAGCAGATATCGTCAATGCTGTACGGACTGGGCTAGTGGATAATGAAGAATCCTTGATAATAACACGATTGTTTGACATGGGAGTACAGCATGGTGAAGCACGTCTTTGCCGTCTTTGAGGTCGAGATAGGAGACTATATAACCAGCTTCTCATGGGAACAATTCGAAGAAGTACTTTGGAGTTGCTGCTGCATCGAAGGACTGAGCACGTATGGGAATGCCCCAATGTGCAGTGACGTCGATTGTGATAACAGTCCGAAACTCAAGTTCAAGGTGTCTCCTTCGTGCCAAAGAACTGCATGGCTGTTGGGTGAACAGTCGTTAACAAAGGCAGTCAGGTCGTTGTAGGGACGACGCTTGCTGGTGGATGTAATTTGCTAAGTTTCTTCCCCAGCTTACAGTGAGGGTACTTCTGAGGTGACTGTTTATTAACCCTCACATAATCAAAATGGAGGCTAGGCACCGCCACTTTTTTTTTAAACGTGGAAATTTTTGTTGTTGCTTCAGCCAGATGGCGGCCTTTGCCCAGCTTCTGAGTTGAGTGCATGGCGTAACACTGTGAGCTGCGGATTTAATTTGAACTTAAATAAACATTTTGTGTGTTTTTCATTGGCACAGGAGCGGAGCAACTATGGGGGGACCCGTCTGCTATAAAGCTGAAACTAAGATTACCAGATTACGTAAATTTCAGTACTTCTCATTTTATAAAACATATAGGCCCAATTCTTTTCTTTAATATTACCATTACTTCTGTCTTAACATTTTTGCAGGTTCGACCTATTTTACCACTGTCTACCACTATTAAAAGTATAAACAAAGAGTAAAATTTAAAACTTATATATATATATATATATATATATATATATATATATATATATATATATATATATATATATGTGTATATGTATAAATATATATATATATATATATATATATATATATATATATATATATATATATATATAGATATAGAGAGAGAGAGAGAGAGAGAGAGAGAGTTAAAAGAAGATGGCATCTTTTATAACTGGTAGTGTCTAGAGAAGGATGGGTTTTGCTGAGGTCTCCTGACCTGTATTTTTCTCCAGGATGAGAGGAAGGGGGAAGCTGAATGTGCCTTACCCAGACAAGATCCAACAACTCAAAGCTGCAGCAGCAGCAACACACACACACACACACACACCCACACCCACAAGATGAGCAACCACACGCACCTTTAGAGTTGCAGCTATCAATTTTGGCTCCACAAGCAATGAGCATTTTCGTTAACTTCACGCGTCCCAGGCTGGCTGCAATGTCTAACGGAGACTTTCCTGTTTCATCTCTCTCATTGACCGCTTCTCTTATCTCCTCATTCCTCAAGGTTGCCAAGTACCTGTATTCATGTTAAAAGTAAAAATGTAAAGGACTCTTTTAGCTGCGAACGTGCATCAGGTTATGATGCTTGACCCAGTGATGTTTTGTCTTGTCTGGTGGCATTCAACGGTACACAGTACCAGCACCAGTTTATGTGTATGCGTGATGGTTAAACGTTTAGAAATGACAGACAATAAACTGTGAATTGCGGCGCTTATTTTAAAAATCTGTCCAAAACTATAAACAGCCCAATTCTGAATTTTGCGTCAGAAATTTGGAGGTCGACTTTGGGTGACCACACTTCCCGTGTTCACCAGCACAGTCCCATTGCTGTCCCGACGATACTTCAGACCCCTAATTGCTCCCCTCCCCATCCCCCCCCCCCGGGCCACACTTTTTTTTAAAAAGAATTAGCTCAAGAATAGAACTTACGATAATAATGTCAAACTGAGTTGCATGGAAGATGATGGGATGTGCCGTTTTCAGCTCAGTATATCGGAGTTTAATATGCACAGATAAAACTGGCTCTCACTCTAATAAAACAATGAATAAAGAAGAAATTGAAAATGTCACAAACTTTGAAAATCTAGGCTCTATAATACATAGCAATGGAGACTGTTCGACATAAATTAAAAGGAGAATGGCCATAGCAATGCAGAAATTTGACCGCGTTAAAAGTCTATGGTTAAGCACCAGCAATGAAATTAAAATTTTGAGAACATGCATCTTCCCTGCAGCAAAATACGGATGTAAGTCGTGGACTATCTATAGAAGGATTCTCATAATTTCTTAGACAAAGAAGAGGAAAAATACTGACATATTGAAAGATCTGAACACCAAGGAAGACTGGCTAATAAACAGCATCTTGTCTCGGAAGCTGAAATATTCTGGTCATGTCAAACGCCACGATGGACTGAAAAAAATAATAGCAGAAGGCATGGCACCAGAATGGAGGGGCAGGGGCCGACCAACACAAAGATGGACAAGGGATATAACTGACTTCCTGCGTATGAAAGTTTATGAGGCGGGACAGCTGGCGAGAGACCGAGTTTCTTTTAGGCAGACCCTCATGAGGGCGACGTTCTGCAAAGGACCTGCCACAGGATGATAATGATATTACGGTGACTCTATGATTTCTACACCGCAATTTACGGTAGCTATAAGCGATGATACCAGCACCTTTTGAAATTATTGGGGTCGTTGGTGTAAATGTAGCTTTTCAACTCATCATATCTGCGTACAGGTGTTTCCTGATGTTCATTATCATCTTCGACAGTAACAGTAACAGAGCTCCGTTTGGAAGTCTGTGATAATTTCGGTTGTAAATTGTCCATCTTTTCTTTTTGTTTTTTCGTTTCTTCTAGTTAATCATCGAAGTATTGTGGGAGATGTAATTATCACCTGTATGATTTTGTCGATTTATTAAATAAGTTAGTACCAATTTGATTTGCGGTATTTGCTGATGTTGGCACCACAAAATTAACAGACTGTTTGGTGATTTTTCTAAATTCTGCCATTGTACATATTAAAACTAGCATCAAAACCAACAGTTCAATTATTAAATATAAATAGCACGCTAATTCTATTTTAAAGCCAATCACTAATAACTAAATATTTTTAAATAAATAAATTCATTTTAAAATAATACAAATGTTAACAAAGTTTGCAATAACATGCAATTTTAAACTAGATTTAGTTTGAAACGTGAAATTGCATCCACATTTTACATGTAATGGTATTCAGGAAGCTCAAGGACTGGCTTCCAGTAATGTATGGATTGTTTGTTGTCTGATGGGGTGAAGCATCTTTCGCTGGGTATTTCTGCATTCTTTTCATGTTCGTTGTCATTAAAATAATGCTTTAAAGCATGTTTTGTATCCATACATCATTAGGCTTTTGTAATGTCTTGCGACTTCTTGTCCTGATTTAAATGTACGTCCCAGACGATGTGTTCACTCAATATTCTTCTCATTTTGTGGTGTATTTTTGAGTCCTAGGGGGTTTAGCATCGGAGGCCTTAGGTGTGGTAATGCAATTTTTTTAATTTCACAAGTGTGACACATTAAAATAGACCATACGAATTCAGTTGCCGCACAACATACACATATTGTACATCAAAGTGATTAGGGATTGTTGAGAAATAATCATAGAATAAAGCTACAAAAAATAATTTAGTAATGAAATATTAGTTTAAAAAAAACAGTCAAAAATTAGTAACATAAAATTTTAAAATTTCCACTAACAACCATGGCACTCAAGGAAAACTGGTTAAAATATATCCAAAATGAATCACAAATGAATATGAACCACTTAGTAATGTAAAAGTAAAATATTAACTCTATCTATACAATCTATATTAGATTTTGTTCCAAAGAATCTTTTGAAGCATCATAACAGAGCAGCATTATTTGGTAAAGAAAAACTGACTCATAAAACAATAAAGAAAAGATCTTCACACAAAAAAGTTTATCTAACACTCTATTTGCCTGTAATTTTATAGCTGTGTTCCTAAATAATAAGGGGAATATCACTAGAACTGACACTGAAGAAAATCGTCTTTCAACTAATGTTTATTCTATTTATGCCAGCTGACTTTGCTATTGTTGTACCCTTCAGTGAGGTACACATTAGACATATCCCTCATCAAAGTTTGACTCTATAAATGTCAGAAACATGTCTAATTTGTAACGTTATCTATCTAACTTTGGATAAATGGAATAAACACATACTTCATTCGAATTTGAGGCTTTTAAAGCCGTAAATCATGTTGGCATGCATGTAGAATATTTCTTGACTGCCATATTATTTTCAAACATTTATTAACTCTTCATATTTTGCAAATATACTATATTTTTAGCTTTTGAACCACGTTAATAAATGAAAACGCCTGATATCCGACACAAAGAACTCAAAAGGAAGTTAAAAGTGAGCGGTTCACATTTTTCAACCGGCCAGTGGTAGATTAAAAAAAACTTCACTTGTCACGCGTCGATTAGGCTGTGCCGTTAAAACAAATTAACGCATGATGCGTTCCCTGGGACTAACAGAGTTAATTAACTAACAATTATTTAATATTAAAGAAAAACGTTTATATTGTTATTTAGCAATTTGTGTACGCTTTGATGTTAATTTGTTGTTATTTGGAAGTGAACTTATATATATTTTATGATTAAACTCGTATATTTGCTGCTTGTTGTAGTGATTTGAATAATTGTAACTGTTATTAAAAACAGTTTGCAAATTGGCAAAACTGAAAATGTTGACTCTAGCAGAAGCAGTCTATTGTAATCTTATAGCAATCATAAGGGAGACAATCTGTTGTTTGTTTACATTAACATAATAATGTTCTCTAAAATGTAATGTTGCTTCAGGTTAGGGCTTAGGGTAGGGTTAGAGTTATGGCTAACCTTAACTAAAACCCTAAGCCTCATTGCAAACAAATTAAGGAATATTATTATTATTAGGTGAACTTACACAAACAGTGGATTGCATCCCTTAATGTCCCATCTAAATTATTATTAACATACAATAGATTGCAACCCCTAGGGTCACAGATTTCAGTTTGCCTATAAATTTATATAGATTTCCTAGTTGAGATTGGCTCAGTGTCAGAATAAAGACATTTTTAATGTTAGGTTGTCTGTTTCTAATGGAGGGGAAGCATCTTTTGATCGGCAGTTTAATGTCCTTTGTTATGTCTGAATCATGTTAGAATGAATGTGTGGCATCTTGGACTGCTTATCAATTTTGCCTCATGGTTTGTCAAGAATTTCTCTTATGAAAATAATAAATAACATGGTTTGTTAACTAGTTTTTATATTTAGTGTATTTATTTACTGTCCGCTTTAATATGAATTTACTATCTAAAGCAGAAGCTTCACTTATTTTATCATTTAACTATTGTTGTTTTGTTTTTGGGGTCTTGTTCTGATTGTGGTGATGTTATTAATACTTGTTTGTATTTATTTTTTAGTGAGGTAATTGTGGAATTTTGGAATCCTCACTGACACAGTTGCAGTTTTTTTATATTCAAGTACATAATATAGTCGAGGTGTCAGATGCATTCCTGTGCAACAAGGCTATACAACTAAACTTGCTCAGGGACAAACATGTTCAAATTGGGGATCGTCAGGGGGCCAGAAGTCTAAACTGCAGTTTACATAGGTTATATGATACAATTGGTAACGCTCAGCCAGCCACTTGCTAGGCCTCTGTGGGCCTGATTCATCCTACAGGCTGTCAGTTGAATAGTACTGCTGCACAGATAGTGTTAATCAGTCAGTGCCCTGGAAAGGAATTGCATCTGTTGGAGTAAAGGTGGACTGCTTCCCCAGCCAGTATTGAGGTACCGTGTCTATGGGCACTGTTCTGGTTGCTTCCCCTCTTCTGGCTTAGAAACCAGCAAGGAGTGCAACAGAAACTTCATCATTTCTGCTAAATGGCATAGTAGAATATACACCTTCTCCTCGACTTATGACCTTTGTGACTTACGGCCATCTGCACTTATGACTACGAAAAGAAAATAGTAAATAAATAAACTACACTGGTAGGGTAAAACAGTTCCTGCCTAGAGTGTAATTATTTGTAAATCGAATTGGAAGGGGGGGGGGGGGGGGGGGGGGGGGGGGGGGGTTATTTGCAATTATTATAACCAATTTGAATAAACATATTGTTAAAAATATAAATTTGACTTATGAACAGTCTGACTTACATAGAAAACATTGATGAAAGAACAAACAAACAAACTTTATTTTCAACGGGTCGCAAATTGGGTCTTTCAATCAGCCCTTCTAAACACCTGTCTTTCACGAGCAGTTGTATTTTATCAATAAAGCCTGTCAAGTTCACATAATAATATTTTTATAAATATTGAGAAAAACACAAGAGCATGGTTAGTAAAATGCGTGCACACACACACACCCAGATGCACATGCCCACTCACTTATACATAGATACACAAACGCACCCGCATACATACATTCGTAAAATATAAACACAGAGACGACACACCCATACACATACATACATTGACACATTTGTAAATACACATACATGCACACACAAAACACATACACACACACACAGACATCCGCCAACACACACGCAGAGACAGATACAATCACATACACAGACACAAATAGACACATACATACACAACACAAAGACACACACACATAAATGCTAACACACAGAGACAAAGGCAGCCACCTACACGCTCAGAGGCACACACGCATGCAGACACACACAACAAAGATTTACACGCAAACACACAGATATACACACGCAGACACAAACACACTGATAGACACACACACAGACACACAAAAAAGAAGCCAAAAGGTACTAGACTAGATTCCATCTATGATGTCAAGAGTGATTGCACAGGATGCAAGGGGATGGAGAAATAGACTGTGAGCCCTATATGACATATAATGACACAACAGGAAAATGAATAAAATTGGTAGACCTACCGGTTACTGGATTTGATCCCCGCTGAAGTAGTGTCCTTCTGCTTGCACCAGCACTTGGACCAGTGATGGGAGCACTTCGGGTAGGTACTTGTATTTATTTATATAATGCTAACCTAATAACTCTGAGAAGTCTTTGTAATAATATATTTTTAAAATTTTCTTCCACAGATTATTACGATGGCCAATCATTGAAAATTTAATTATGGCATCTTTCTTATGCCCACATTGTTTTTGAATTTTATTTTTGGTTACACACCACCATGTAAACAATGAAAAATAACAGGAATTCGTTGAGCAAATGGAAAAGCTATAATGTCATAAATTGTAAATTATAAGCTACTTGTAACAAAACAAATAACGAGAATAGAAAATGAACAGACTAGAAACACCAATGGAGAGGTCATCCTCGCCAGCCAGGCTTGGGTACACATCGGATAAACATCCACGACACACTCTGGACACAGTGAATGTGCTGCGGAAACATAGAGAGCTGTGTGATGTTGTGCTTATTGTTGGCTCAAAGAAGATCTTTGCACACAGAGTGGTTTTGTCTGCGTGTAGTCCATATTTCCATGCCATGTTTACTGGGGAGCTGGCCGAAAGCAGACAGACTGAGGTCACCATTAAGGTAATGTTGAGTTTTGTCTGTGTTTTACAATAAAAGTTTGGTTTTAATTGGGGAGAGGCAATAAACCAATGGATGAACAGACTTTTTTGTTCAAGGGGTCACGTATTGACTACCCAGACCCTCTCTTGCATTCAACCAGTCTCAATACTCATATTTAACTCAGTAGTCGTATTTCACCTATAAAGCAGGTTGTGTTCATTTAACAATATTCACATGGATGTTAAGTAACACACAAGCATGGATGGTAATTGCACACATTGAAGTAAAGATATATACTATGCTCACATACGTACACACACATGTCTACATACACATAGAAAGAATGAGCTATGTCGGCCAGTCCTGATGCACAAACATTAATTGTGTATAATAGTTTTTTTTATCTGTATAGAGTGGTACAACTTGACATGAGGTAATTGTAACTGACTCACGGAGCATGCTTCAGAAAGTAAAACTGGTATCATTTGCTCAGAGTGGCTTGCATCGCTTGGTGAGACTCAGGTGAGGGGCAGATTTTTGTGCAGGACATTTAGTTGTGCAGGGTAATGAGCAGGCTGATAGACTGGCTGCTGCTGCTGCTCCTCTGAGTGTGAGCTGTTTTATAATAAAGAAGATGTGGTGATAGCTTTCTGGAATTGTGGACAGTGTAAGGGATGGCATCCATTCCTTGAAACTATGATTCAGCAGTGATTAAGAATAGGGTCTCTTGTTTTCAAAGTACAAAGGAAATAAAAGACGGATGTCTAAGAGCTGATTGACTATCAGGTTCCACATTAATGTTGCAACATTGTGGAACTTTTCTTTGGCTACTGAGGAAACAAGCACAGCATTTGGGCGATCCCTGGTGCCTTGATGTCAATTCTTGATTCATTCATGCATGCCTTTGAAATTGTTCAGTCCCACAGTGTCATAGCTAATGTCTGAGGGAGTTAGGCATGCAATACTAAACCCATGTGTATCTGAGAGAGTTAGACTGGCAAAACTAAACTCATGTGTATCTGAGGGAGTAAGACTGGCAATGCTAAACTCATGGGTATCTGAGGGAGTAAGACTGGCAATACTAAACTCATGGGTATCTCAGGGAGTAAGACTGGCAAAACTAAACTCATGTGTATCTGAGGGAGTAAGACTGGCAATACTAAACTCATGGGTATCTGAGGGAGTTAGACTGGCAATACTAAACTCATGAGTATCTGAGGGAGTTAGACTGGCAATACTAAACTCATGGGTATCTGAGGGAGTAAGACTGGCAATACTAAACTCAATGGCTTTCTGAGAAAGTAAGACTGGCAATACTAAACTCATGGGTATCTGAGGGAGTAAGACTGGCAATACTTAACTCATGGGTATCTGAGGGAGTAAGACTGGCAATACTAAACTCAATGGCTTTCTGAGAGAGTAAGACTGGCAATACTAAACTCATGGGTATCTGAGGGAGTAAGACTGGCAGTACTAAACTCATGGGTATCTGAGGGAGTTAGACTGGCAATACTAAAACTCATGACTGGCAATACTAAATCATGGGATCTGAGGAGTTAGACTGGCACTAAATACTAAACTCATGGGTATATATGGGTAGGGAGTTAGACTGGCAATACTAAACTCATGGGTATCTGAGGGAGTTAGACTGGCAATACTAAACTCATGGGTATCTGAGGGAGTTAGACTGGCAATACTAAACTCATGGGTATCTGAGGGAGTTAGACTGGCAATACTAAACTCATGGGTATCTAGAGACTGGCAAGTCATGGGTATCTGGCAATACTAAACTCATGGGTATCTGAGGGAGTTAGACTGGCAGTACTAAACTCATGGGTATCTGAGGTTATAGACTGGCTACTAAACTCATAGGTATCTGAGGACTATCTGAGGGAGGAGTTAGGCTGGCAGTACTAAACTTATGGCTATCTGAGGGAGTTAGGCTGGCAGTACTAAAAATCTGAGGGAGTTAGACTGGCTATCTGAGGGAGTTAGACTGGGAGTTAGGCAATACTGCAGTACTAAACTTACTGGCTAAATCTGAGGGAGTTAGGCTGCAATACTAAACTTCATATCTGAGTGAGTTAAACTGGCAATACTAAACTCATGGGTATCTGAGGGAGTTATGGCAGTACTCATGGCTATGAGGGAGTTTAAACTGGCAGTACTAAAACTCATGGGTATCTAGGGAGTAGGCTGGCTGAGAGGGAGTTAGACTGGCAATACTAAACTCATGGGTATCTGAGGGAGTTAGACTGGCAATACTAAACTCATGGGTATCTGAGGGAGTTAGGCTGGCAGTACTAAACATATGGCTATCTGAGGGAGTTAGGCTGGCAGTACTAAACTTATGGGTATCTGAGGGAGTTAGACTGGCAATACTAAACTCATGGGTATCTGAGGGAGTTAGGCTGGCAATACTAAACTCATGGGTATCTGAGGGAGTTATACTGGCAGTACTAAAATCATAGGTATCTGAGGGAGTTAGACTGGCAATACTAAACTCATGGGTATACTACATTTCTGAGAGTTAGGGCAATACTAAAATATCTAGGGAACCATTAATGGCTATCTTTAGGCTGGCAGTCACTAAACATCTTGATTGCAGCACTATTTTTTGCAGTATTTTTTGTTACGATAAATCGTATTATATTGCGCTATGAGGAGGCATGGGACTCATGGGTATCTGAGGGAGTTAGACTGGCAATACTAAACTCATGGGTATCTGAGGGAGTTAGGTTGGCAGTACTAAACTTATGGCTGTCTGATGAAGTTGGACTGGCAATACTAAACTCATGGGTATACTACTTTCGCGTTCTTTAGACCTTCACTAAAGTCTTTTTTTCAGCATCGTTATATTGCGCTAAGAGTTCAAGTTGACTAGCAAGACCCGCCCGCGTTAAGAAAAGTCTGTCTCAGTTCTGTACATCCGTCTCACTGTACATCCGTCTGGCATCAATGCAGATTAACAGCATGCTCAGAGAGTGCACCCTTGGCGAGAGGTGTTAGAGATCTTTTGCAGCCAGCCTTCATTATGTTAGCCAAGTGTTATGTGTTAGCGTTATGTGTGATTGATTGAGTCAGTTAATGTTTTGTTTTTGATCCATAGGACATTGATGAAACAGCCATGGAATTGTTGATTGACTTCTGCTACACATCCAGTATCACTGTGGAGGAGAGCAATGTCCAGACTTTGCTCCCTGCTGCCTGCTTGCTACAGGTAACATGATAACTGAGTGTTATACTCTTTAGAATCTATATTGACACAGATGGGTCTGTGGTTCGCCATGTGAGAAGCTCTTGGGCTTTTACGGCTCAGGGTGGAGTTGGAATTTTGAAGCAAGATTTTGGTTCTGTTGCCCTGATCACAAGTAGTCTGACTGTGGAGGACTGGCAGTGACCACAGCAATAACATGGCTGGAGACACATACCTTTTCCTGCATATGCTTTCCCAGTGGCTCAGGAAGATAAAGAAAGGCTGGATCCGAAAACATTGGTTAGTCTCTAAAGCAGTCGAGGCTGACACAAATCATTTTTATATTTGTGCCAGAGCTCACAGGTGTACAAGGACATGAGCATACTGATAGGCTTGCAGGTAGAGTTAATGTGGAGGGTGGACATGCCATGGACCATGCTGATATTCTGACTCATGTCGTGTGCCTCTATACGCTGAAGGATTTAAAAGAGGGCATCTAAGCACTTATGGACTGAATGGTTGACTAACTCACTGACTGATTAGTATCCACATGTGGGTTCCAGAGCCCCAGTGTGTTTTGGGGGGGGGGGGGGGGGTGGGGGGATAATAGACCATTTGCCCCCTGAAATGCATGTCGTAAAAGTTGACTAGTTATCACCCACCTCCCTTTATCCCTGTGATAAGACCTGTGTGCTATTGGCTTTGCCAAGACCCTAGCCTGTGTCACCTTTTTCCCAAAGGATGGCAAGCATTTTATGTGTGATTTGTTTTCCTGCCATGTGAAAGAAGCAGTTGTGTGATGACCCATTTGCCATGTGAAAGAAGCAATTGTGTGATGACCCATCAGCTACAAGAACAAGACCTGGCTACAATAGCAAGTGGCAGCCAGCATGCACTGGATCACAAATTATTCCTTCCCACGACACTTAACAGCAAAAGTGGTTTTGATGATGATGATATTCTGTGTGAAGTCTCAACATTGCTACTTTTTATTATTATTTTTTTCTGATAGTTATTTTTTTCATAAATAATGATACTTAAACTAATTGATTGTCAATGTGTTTCTAATAAGCTGGTTGAAATTCAAGACGTTTGCTGTGAATTCCTGAAAAGACAACTTGATCCTTCCAACTGTTTGGGCATCAGGGCTTTCGCAGACACCCACGCCTGTAGGGACCTGCTTCGTATAGCAGATAAATTTACCCAGCACAACTTTCAAGAGGTAACAGGTTTCTTCAACATTTGCTGTTGTGGCTTGGTGATTGCCTGCTAGCTCCAAGGTTATGGGTTTGAAACCATGGCATGTTAAATTTTTAATAATTGATTTTGGCTGCCAGTTTGGCCCAACCTGAAATGGATACTAGGAAGGAAAGAAGTAACATTATTCTATATAAGTATACATAAAGAACAGGGGGTCTCCATGGCGAAGTAAACAAGCTGCTGTGAAGGTCGTGGGTTTGTTTCACGGCTGCCCCTTTCAGTTCACGCATGCAGTTTTTATGGAGATCACTGTGGATCGTTGCCGCAGATACGGAGTTCGTGCTCTGCACGGCACTCTGGGCAGGTGGCTAGCTGTTCTGCGGAGAGACCGAGCCATGTGAGATAAATTCAGGTGAAATGAAGTCAATCCTCTCAGCTTTAACCTTCACCTGTTGACAAAACGAGCCACATGCTCGGTATGCCACTGGCTTAGAAAAGGTACCTTACTTACTTAATCTTAAATCATTTGTTATAATTACATTTAACCCTATCGTCCCGAGAAGACCAAATCTCGTCACTTCCAGTTGTGACCAGTAAATGCTGATATGTTACCATTTCTATAGTAATTTGTTCTCGAAACACAAAGTTAAATGCTGTTGGTTCTGTTTCTGCCTGCACAGTGTTTAGAAGGCCTGGATATGAAAATATTAACTAAATTTAGCATTTAGAGGGTATTCTTTGAGAATCCAGTAGCTCTTTTAAAGACATTTTGACTTGAAATGTTCCTGTCATCCTCTGTGATAAAGATCACTGGGTCACACTATTAGTCAGCCAATACATGTTGTTTTTAAGGCCTTTGGGAATGTAATCTTTCACTCAGTTCATGTTTACTGTTTACTTCTTTTAGATATCTTTATATATTTTGGAAACAGTTCAAGTTTAGAGATGTGGATGGATAATTTCACAAATATTTACTAGTGACCTTTGTGATTTTTCCTTTTTTTTTTAAAGTAATTGTTTCCAGGAATTTTCATGGGTTCATTACCTATTTTTTCAGCATTGCATGGGGCGAAAGCTTTGGGAAAGCATTATTTAGGGTAATAGTTTTCAAACAGTTTATTGACTTTTTGTTCATCATATTATGTGTCAAAACTGATTATAATTAGTTTGAAATAGGTCACAATTTAATGTTATATTATCTTTAACAGTCTACAACAAGGTCATAAGTTTATGTAATGATACTGTTGGTAATTTGTAACTGGCTCTCTGTGAATGTAATGTTTTGCTATAAATTATCAACATATCATTAATTGACGTTTTGTTATATAACAACAAAAGTTATTGTAATATTACACTTGTTTATAAAAAAAACTAGACATTGACTGATGTGACATTGTTAAACTACCTGTCATTAGGTAATGTTGTGGTACTGTTGATGATCAAGAATGAGTCGTTAGTTATGGTTGTGGTACTTTTGAGAATGTTGAATTAAGAATCAACATCACAGCGCTCACAACACACCCATAAATGCTCCATCCCCATCTTCAGCAGCAAGCGAAGAGTTACAATTCTGATGGCACCAGTAACCATCTGATTGTATATCCATCTCATCTTTCCCCTGAGTGTTGAGCGTCGGCCAGATTCCCTGGTAACTCCTCACAACGCCATTTTCCTCAGATCGTAATGATTTGTCTGCACCTCCGCACTGATGGATCTGTTGAAGAGATTTTTGATGCATGCGGCAAATTCTGTTCAAATTATGAAGCCGAAATAATTGCACTGGAAACAGTATATCACCTAAAGACTGTAATGGATGTTTACCCTTCAAAGGCCCAAAATTTTGTCATCTTCACAGATTCAATGTCTGCCCTTCAAGCTCTGGAGGGCAGTGAACACTGCAGAACTGACATAGCCAAGATAATCCTGGATGCTGATCAGCTTATTACCTCATACAACATCAGAATAGTGATGCAGTGGATTCCATGCCACTCCGGCACACCAGGTAATGACCCAGCTGACAGATTGGCAAAGAAAGGAGCAACACAAGAACAACCACCTACAGCAACAACCCTACAGACAGCAAAAACGCTTATAAACGCTATAAACAAAGAGACTTGGCTGAACAGTTGAGCCATGGGAGACACTGGAAGAGAGGTTTATAGACACATGGCTGGCCCTGATCCTAATGACAGCATTAACCATCTAACAAGAAGGGACCAGGCCACCATCTTCAGACTTGGAACGCAAAATACTCCACTCAATGGTCATCTAAACAGAATACAGCCACAACACTCCCCAGAGTGCCAGCTATATAACTACCCCTACGAAACTGTTGAACACCATCTCTTTGAGTGCCCAAAACTCAGCGAGACTAGAAGAATGCTACTCCCTCCGAGACCAGACAAGTGGAACACCTTGTACGGAGGAAAAGAACAGCTTGTGAAAACATGCAAATTCCACTACATGGCATTGGGCCAAAGGGCGAAAGCTCATTTGCCGCTTCATCGATAACAACAACAACCTCCGCACTATTCACTCATTCCAAAGGGCCCTCACAATATTTAGTTTATCATAGTTCACCACCAGGTGGTGTAGAGCCGGCTAGTCTACCTGCCTGCTCATTTCCCAACGCACTGACCTGTGAAATAATGCTTGCCACTCTGCGTGAAGCATGCCTGTCTTCACGTTTCTCAACATGCTCTGTGAGTCAGTTACAATCACGGTATGTGTGTACAGCTGATTATCAAGCCAGCGGAATGCAGCAGAGACTGCCTCCACCTCCATTCTCAAACTAGATGTTGTGATATCATATGCAAGGCTTTGCTGCACTAAGTGACGTCCATTCGCTTTTGCTATGAACCCCCATGTATGGTGCTGTTGAGAATCAACAACAGGTCATTAGGTAACACCAGTGATACTCAGCAACAGCTCGTTAGTTAATTTTGTGGTGCTGTTGATAACAGCAGAACATTAATTGACATTTCAGCAGTATTTCATTATTCAATATAGCTTCACTCATGGTCAACCACATATCATTAGGTATTGTACTGGTACTATTAATAATCAACAAAAGATTGTTAATTAGTTTCATGTTTCCAGTGATGTCAAAAAGAGGTCCTAATTGAATATGTTACAGGTGATGGAGAGTGAAGAGTTCATGCTGCTACCAGTGAACCAGCTAGTAGACATTATATGCAGTGATGAGTTGAATGTACGCACGGAGGAACAAGTCTATAATGCTACCATGAACTGGGTTAAATACAACGTGCAGGAGAGAAGGCAGCATCTGGCTACTGTAAGTTGAGAATTTGTATGACATACAGCTTTTTACCTGGCATATGTCCCTTTATCTCTTTAGGTGCTTTACAGCAGAATTTACGTCAGCATACATAGAGACATGAGCACTGATACTTTTTAAATGAAATTCACACCTTACATAGCCTCTTGTAGCAATGTGTATCTCACCACAGAAGTCTCAATTTAACCATCTGATCACTTTGTTTATGTAATGCAGAATTGCTCATCCCTAGTGCTACTTATTCTGCCAATTTTTGGTAAGTTGTGCCTATATTTTGCTTTTATTCATATCCTGCTTCTTCTTTTCTGTTCCAGTTTTCTTAGCTAAATGTTTGGGGTAAAGGAGAAGACATGTCAGGATTTTAGGTGTACTTTTTCTAGTAGAATATGTAAGTAAGTTGGTCTTTATTTCTCAAAAGTTTTTTTTGATGCTTTTATTCCAGCTACCTCATGGTCTTCTGTGTAGTCCTTACATTTCGTCAACATGGGTGTCTGTCAGTTCATATCCTTAACTAAACACTGTTAATCTCTAACACCCTTCCAAGGGGCAGAAATATCACGACTTGATGCTAAAAATATTGCCCTAACTTGGAATTTTTAGATGTATTATGAAGAATACATCCCTGCTGGCACCAAAAATTAGTTCGTGTTGACTATATTTTTGTCTTCAGGGTGTCCAAGTTAACTAACTTTTACTGATGCAAATATATTTTTTTCCACAGGCTCTTCAGCATGTACGATTGCCATTGATGACCCCGAAATTCCTGGTTGGAACCGTTGGTGCCGATTTACTTATCAAAAGTGATGAAGCGTGCCGAGATCTGGTCGATGAAGCTAAGAATTATCTTCTCCTGCCTCAGGAGCGCCCCCTTATGCAAGGGCCAAGGACGAGGCCAAGGAAACCAATCAAATGTGGGGAGGTTCTGTTTGCCGGTAAGTATTGGCTGATTGATGTATGTGTAATTAATTGTTTGTGTTGGTAATATATTATGTGTAATTAATTGTTTGTTGTGGTAATATGTTATGTGTAATTAATTGTTTGTGGTGGTATATTTCATGTTGACATTGCATGCACTAGGCATGTCTGGCTGAGTGCTGAAGCTGCTGGGCTCTCATGTGGGAAATTGGGTTCAATCCTAGGTAAAGGAAGAGTTTTTTCCTAACAGCAAAAAAATTGAAAATCCTCACTGTCGGCACCTCTTTGTCCTTGTTCTTCTAATAGTTCACGCCATATGGTGTTGGTTGTCATAAGTATCCAAAGCCTTTTGTCTTGTATATTTTCACTTCTGACACAAATGATTGTCTGTGCCAGAACTATTCTGCAAAGTTACCCAGGGGCCACAATGACAGGCAAGAAGTCCCAGCCCCAGCTTAGTAAAGATCATTAATATAATACAGCTGGTAGTAATCTGCGGGCTACTTGCTAAGCCTCTTTCCCTGTCTAACTTTCTCACCGTCACCGTGTACTCCAACTTTCTCACCGTCACCATGTACTCCAGTTTTCTCACCGTCACCATGTACTCCAGTTTTCTCACCGTCACCATGTACTCCAGTTTTCTCACCATCACCATGTACTCCAGTTTTCTCACCGTCACCACGTACTCCAGTTTTTTCCTTCTCAGGATATGACCAAAGAATGTTGATTGCCTCCTTCTGATGTGGAAACTTCACCGGTCCTAGAGCAAAATAAAATTAGCTTAGGATAAAATTTGTATTTTTGTTTATTTCAGAATGATTTTTTCCGTTTTTTAATTCTTGGTTATTAGTTCATTAATTATTGTACTGTATGTAATAATTGTACTTTTTTTTTTGTACGACTATTTCTTTGTTTGTTGTTAATGACTGTGTTCTACATAATAATGATATGATTTGTCTATCTGCAGTTGGAGGTTGGTGTAGTGGTGATGCCATTTCCAGTGTAGAGAAGTATGACCCAGGAAGTAATGAATGGCGACTGGTAGCCCCGATGAGCAAGAGACGATGTGGTGTTGGAGTTGCAGTTCTGAATGACCTTCTGTATGCTGTTGGTGGGCATGATGGACAGTCGTACCTAAACAGCATAGAAAGGTAGGAGAATTTACTTTCCGTCCTGTAACAACAACAATATTCTAGTCTATGCTATTTTAAAAAAAAATATTACAAAGAGGTAGTGGATGATTTGTAAGAACAGCTTTTCATTGGCTTGAAAACAGCACAACTATTATGATTTTAACAGACTCAAAGAGCATGCTTCAGAAAATTAAAACTTGTGTCCTGCATGCAGAATGGCTTGCATCACTTGGTAAGATTTTCTTACCAGGATGTTCAGTTGTGAAAGGGAATGAACAGGTTGTAGATTGACTGCTGCCACACCTCTGGGTGGCCAGCTACTATGTGATAAAGCAGACATGTGAAGTCTCTGTGGGAGCAAGTGGACAGTGCAAAGAAACAGGCAGGGAATCCATACATGAAAGACTAATTTAACAAAGGGTGAGTAGAGGTTCTGGAAGGTATTCAACACAGATGGGGAAACAGGCGGACTTTTCATCTCATTACAACTGGTACTGTTAGCAAGTCAACTCTTGATTGGTTACTGCAGGAGGGGACGGAGCACTTGTGGGAATGTCCCGAGTGCAGTAGTGTCACTTCTTGATTCATTCATTCAATCGTAACTACTCTGTAAGAGAAGACAACCAGAGAAGGTTCTGTGAGAAATTAAGAGATTCAAATGACTATTGAAACAATTCCCCTTGTTAAATTCATTGATAAACAAAGTCTGAAATGGTTTGGCCATCTAGTGAGAATGGATGCAGTAATGCCGGCAGCGAGAGTGTACAATATGAACACCAAGAGGCAGACATAGAGGCCTAGAAGAAGATTGACTGTCATACATAGTTTGGTCCTTCATAGCATATCATAAACTGTTTCTGTGTACACCAGAACTGTTCAACCTGCAGCCCCAGGAGGCCTAGCAGGTGGCCCTCGGATCATTGATAGTTTTACTATATCAACTATCTCTCTATGCTGGGATTCAGAGTTCTAGGTCGTGATGACCAATGTTTTCCAAATGTTGGCCCCTGAATAAACTGTGATGAAAAGCCCTGATGTGCACTCACAATCCTGTTTAAAATTCACAATAATATGTACATCTCTTCTACATTCCTAGTGTTGCTCTGCTATTTGTCTTCTTAACTAGCATGTCACTTAAGCTGACTAATTAGGCCAAAAGCTGTAGATATCACAGCCTAGCTGTAAACCACATGACAACATGCCAACAACCCTTTTAAGAGTAAACACAGAAACAGATTAAAACTTTAGCTGCAAAATCTTACTGATTATCAATGAGTTTTCAATGTAGTTAGTATGGGTTGGAGCCCATACTCCATTGGGGGATGAAATAATGAAGCATTACTGTTAATTAGTGGAAAGATATTTATCAGTTTAGTTATGTTTATGATATTCAAGATCTGGGACAAATTGACAACCATGCATTTTATGTTAATGAAACTTAACATTTTTGAAAAATTGTATGAATATGATGCAGATTTATTTGTAATTTTGTTAAAGAGTTATAATTACATATTGATGAATATTACTGTATTATGAGTTAATATACATGTTCTTTGTACTAGATTAGAGTTAAAACAGATAACATGAACTTATTTATTACTTATGTAATAATTAATATATTTGAAAGATTAATCATAGAGTGATTTGAAACAGTTATATTACACTTATTTATTAATAATTAAAGTAAATTATAGACTAATTTTAACAGTTCTGTTACTTATTTATCAACAGTTTGAGTAGAATTTAGACTAATTTTAAACGACATTTAACCCCCCCCCCCCCCCCCCCCCCAATTAGTTGAAGTGATTAAATTGTAGAGTTACTTCAGTTATATTACTTGGTAAGTGATAATTAAAGTAAATTGTTCAGTTATTTTAAACAGTTATATTACTTGTAAGTGATAATTAAAGTAAATTGTTCATTAATTTTAAACAGTTATCTTCATTGATCTGAGAGCCCTGTTAGTTAGACATAGAAGCAGAGCTAAAGTTTGAACACGCAATCAATGAATAGATATAATATCTGAGACCGTAAATACAAGCACCTAGGCTGCACATATTAATGAAGAATAGTATAGTATGCCTAAGTCAGGTTATGCCTACCTGGCAATAGGTGTTTCGTTCTTTTTAGGACAACATTTTTTGTTATTTGGCTTTGCCAAGGGCCGCAATATAGGCAGGCCATAAATATGGCCAATTGTCTGAACGCGGTTTCTGGGACCTCTCCACGACAATCCTCATCCACATGGTGGCACTTTGTTTCATCGAGTGTTTATCGCTTGTGTGATGTCCTAGTGGGGTAGAAAGTCAGTCAGTCTTCACATACCAAGGTTTGCACCCAAAGTCTCTTGAAAATCTGATGCTGAAAGGCAAAAACAGGACTAGAGAAGATGAAGAAGAAGAAGAAGAAAAAATGTGTTTATCATTGCATTTAAATTGTAGTGTAACTTTAAACATTTATGTTAATTATGGTGTAATCCTGTACACACAGATATGATCCACATACCAATCAGTGGAGCTCAGATGTAGCTCCGACCAGCTCCTGTCGCACGAGTGTAGGAGTGGCTGTACTAGGGGACTTTTTATATGCAGTTGGTGGACAAGATGGTGTCTCATGTTTAAATTATGTAGAACGGTAAGTGGGCACAGTAAGTGTCCAAATTCTAACTTGTTATACTGCTGTCAGTAATGCGGGATGTTCAAAATGGACATGTGTGGCTCAAGTAGCTACCAAGCATATCAACATTAATTACATGTACCCACATGGATATACTGTCTGAGGTATGCAGCAGTGCAAGGGAATGAAAGGTAGGGAAGGCGCTGCAAAAGCAGTGGGAAAATCAAGCAGATTATCACCAGAAATAAACAGAATTAAAGTAACTGATCAGTTTAACTATTTTGACAGCAATTTTGATAGTCAAGGAAACAAGGAGAAATAAATGATGCCACGATTTGGCTAGGTAAGAGCAGCAATTAACAGCCTGAACAAAATCTAAAAACTTTAATTATGTAGTTTTACAACCAAATTGTGTGTTTTCAATTGTAATGTTTTTTTGTAAATTTTTAAAAAAATTTTAATTTCAATATATGGTAGCGGAAGTCGGAGAACTGCTAAAGGCATAGAACAAAAGTTATATGCATTGAAAAAATACATTGGGTAACTGATGAACATTCAATGGGATGAACTTATAAAAGGCAGAGAAAAAAGACAAATGTCTGGACAATCTCTCGTATCAGCAAATACAAGACCAAGAAGCTGGCCCTATGTTTAGCCCATCTTGAGAGGAAGCAATTACTGAACCACCACAAGCACTGAATCACCGCAAGCACTGGATCACCACAAGCACTGAACCACCACAAGAACTGAACCACCACAAGCACTGAACCACCACAAGCACTGAACCATCACAAGCACTGAACCACCACAAGAACTGAACCACCACAAGCACTGAATCACCACAAGTACTGAACCACCACAAGCACTGAACCTCCACAAGTACTGAATCACCACAAGTACTGAACCTCCACAAGCACTGAATCACCACAAGTACTGAACCACCACAAGCGCTGAATCACAACAAGCACTGAACCACCACAAGCACTGAACCGCCACAAGAACTGAATCACAACAAGCACTGAACCGCCACAAGAACTGAACCGCCACAAGCACTGAACCACCACAAGCACTGAACAACCACAAGAACTGAACCACCACAAGAACTGAACCACCACAAGCACTGAACCTCCACAAGCACTGAACCACCACAAGAACTGAACCACAACAAGCACTGAACCGCCACAAGCACTGAACCACCACAAGAACTGAACCACAACAAGCACTGAACCACAACAAGCACTGAACCACAACAAGAACTGAACCACCACAAGAACTGAACCACCACAAGCACTGAACCACCACAAGAACTGAACCTCCACAAGAACTGAACCTCCACAAGCACTAAACCACAACAAGCACTAAACCACAACAAGCACTGAACCACCACAAGAACTGAACCTCCACAAGAACTGAACCACCACAAGAACTGAACCACCGCAAGAACTGAACCGCCACAAGCACTGAACCGCCACAAGCACTGTACCACCACAAGCATTGAACCGCCACAAGCACTGAACCACCACAAGCACTGAACAACCACAAGAACTGAACCACCGCAAGAACTGAACCGCCACAAGCACTGAACCGCCACAAGCACTGTACCACCACAAGCATTGAACCGCCACAAGCATTGAACCGCCACAAGAACTGAACCGCCACAAGCACTGAACCACCACAAGAACTGAACCACCACAGGAACTGAACCACCACAGGAACTGAACCACCACAGGAACTGAACCACCACAAGCACTGAACCACCACAAGAACTGAACCACCACAAGAACTGAACCACAACAAGCACTGAACCACAACAAGCACTGAACCACCACAAGCACTGAACCACCACAAGCATTGAACCACCACAAGCACTGAACCTCCACAAGCACTGAACCACCACAAGCACTGAATCACCACAAGCACTGAACCTCCACAAGCACTGAACCACCACAAGTACTGAACCACCACAAGCACTGAACCACCACAAGCACTGAACCTCCACAACCACTGAACCACCACAAGCACTGAACCACCACAAGTACAGGAACCCATGTTTATCCGATAGCATGTTACTACTTAAATAATTTAAAAAAAAAGAAGAAGACGTCATAGTAGCACGGCTACTGAAAAGAACATAATTTTATCATAGTTCTGACATTGAAAATCTGTGTAATTAAGTGAGAAATTATTCAGATTGCTTGCAAAAATACCTTAGGGTTTATTCAGCCAGTTGACAGGTCTTTTGCATCCTGATCACTGATAGTTTTTAAACAAATGGGCTTTTCCATAAACTAATAAAACATACCATTGAATAACTGTAGTTTTGTTTCAATCTCTTAAGCACCATCAGATAGCATGATTTTTGTGTGATTATTTTAGTTCAAATATGACGTAGAAAAATGTTTGGTAAAATATTTCCGTTGATTTACACTTTATGGCACACACTCAATTATCCTGAAACCTTTTTTGTTTGCCAGGTACGATCCTCAGACAAACAAATGGCAGAAGGTCGCATCAATGAGCACACGACGACTGGGTGTGGGCGTGGCAGTTCTACAGGGCTTCCTGTATGCTGTTGGTGGCAGTGATGGAACCTGTCCCCTGAACACAGGTCAGTTAAGAAATGCACATGTTTTAACAGTGTTTTAAGTGAGGTTGAGAGATGTGCTGTGAGTTTTGTTCTTTCCTCTTCGCCTTCACCGGCTGTAAACTCTAGTGGAAAGTTGTAGTTTTTCATTAAGTTCTTGAATTTAGTCTTGTTCAAAATCTTGACTTTTGTGTGCTCATCTGTTTTACAGATCTGGCTTTTTTGTAGGCAGACAGTTGGCTTCTTGCCTCTCTAGCGGACGCACTCCAATTTAGAAGGAAACCTAGAGTCAGCCGACACAAATGACTTGCATGTTAGGAAAGCAATGGGTCTATTATTATTTTTCCCTAGAGTGGCTTCCTGGAACCCACACCAGGAGTTTCTTTGTTTTAAATGTAAGCTTGTTTTGTTGTTGACATCTCAATTTTCTCTTTCTTATTCTTATCCAGTCTTCTTTTTTCCTTCTTTGCTGCTTACAATCAACCAACAAATTAAATAGGACACAGTTAAAACCATTGTCAAGAGGGTGACCAACCCATGCAAGCATTCTCACATTAATGGCTTATGGCGGGCAGTCTTTGTACCTGTACTTTACATCTTGTCAGTATCTGTGGATGCAGGCGATTTTGCAGCAGACTGCTTAGCGCTAGATTCAACAGTGATATTGAGAGCAGACTGTTTAGAAAGCAAACATCTGAACGTAAAATTACCTGTTGAAGTCATAAACAGTAAATATGCTGGGGTTGCTTCTACAACATGTAAAGGAGACACAACTTTTTTTTTTTTTAGAAGAAACGGTAACAGTAACAGTAACAGTAGCTGTTTAGAAGACAAATGTTGGTTAGAAGAGGAATAAGAATGTCATTTAGAATAGGAAGAATAGATTGACAATTAGAAAAAAGTTCTCCTCGTGTGGGTTTCTGGGCCTCATTGTGGGGGAAATAAAAATAGACTCACTGTCTCCTCAACAAGCATGTCCTAAGAGTCTACTAATTGGGGGAATTCTTCAGTGTCAGAGTATGTCTGCCTGAGAGGCAAGAAACCCAACAGTCTGCATTCAGAAAAGCCAGATCGGTAAAATGGGTGCGCACACAACACAAAGTTTCTGCAACAGGACTAGAGTCCAGAAGTGGACAAACAAACAGAATTTTTTGCTGGAGTTTACAGCCGGTGAACACGAAGAAGAAGAAAATATTTACACAGAAAATTACATCTTGTTGGTGATTGTCTCTTTTATGTCATTTGACACTGGTTTATGTGGGTTCTTTTCTCCAAGTTCTTGTTTATACTGCTTGCGATTTTTGTCTTTGGCCTCCCCTTTTTAATCACAGTTTTTTTAAAGCTGGGTGGGAAGAGGGAAGGTTTTGCCACACATTAAAATTAACACCACCTCAAAAAGGTTGAGAACCACTTCACTGGGGTAATAATTAAACACACAGACAGTGGGTTGCTTGGGACAGGAGGAGTAAATCTGGTAATTTATTTGCTCCAATCGCAGTGGAACGATTTGACCCCCGCAGCAACAGGTGGACTCCTGTTGCTCCCATGGGAACCAGGCGGAAACATCTGGGTGTGGCCGTGTTCCAGAACATGATCTACGCTGTTGGTGGTCGAGATGATACCACTGAGCTAAGCAGCGCTGAGAGATACAACCCGCAGAAAAACACATGGGAACCTGTGGTGGCCATGACGTCGAGACGAAGTGGGGTAAGTGTTTTTCTCTTCTATGTGATGTTCCTTGTCAGTCTTCCATGACCTAACTATGACCAGAACTTAGTGCTGCCAGTGTTTCTAGCTGATAAAGGCTTAGGTTGAAATCTTCATTTTGTTCTGTCTGTGAACTTCCTCCCCCATTGAGCTTTCAAGTCATAGTCCAGTTACTTGGCTTGTTGATACCAGGCCAACTTATTTTTATCATTAAAGAACAACAGACGAGATGGTTTTGGCATCTGATGAGCATACCTGGGTGACAAATGCCATGATAAAGAAATATAAGGAATGAATACTAAGAGGAAGACCATGCAGAATACAGAATTGGAATAAATGATTGAATGATTCAAGAACTGACATCACCTCACTCGGGACATTCTTATCTTCTCCCCCTCCCCAAGGAAGAGTCGATATGCTACAGTACCAGTTGCAACCTGATTAAAAGTCTGCCTGTTTCCCCTCAAATGTTGAATATCTTCCAGAACCTCTACTCACGCCCATGGAATCAGTCTTTCAGTGTATGGATTCTCCCTCTGTGAGAAGAATGTGAAAAAATGGAATGATGGCATCAAGAATAACGTTAGAGAAAAGAAGAAAATCATGCAATACATTGGAAAGAGAAAAGATCCAAACATCTTCCCCAGACACATCGCTGACCTAACTGGAGAAAGAGAATGTGATGTTTCTTGTGGTTGTTTGACCTGATGAATGGGCAATTTATACTCAACACATCTGTATGATGAAGACACATATAACAAGCAGTGTGAACAATTGTGGTGCCGTGTCCTTTACTTCCACCTACTACCTAGCAGGTGTGGAGAATTGTCTTTAAATTGTATTTTTATGATATCCCAGTATGCCTGAAGTTGTGACAATGTCTTTTACTTTTATTCTCAACCCACTATGCCTGAATGTATGGAATTGTCTTTTACTTTTAGTGCAAATTCAGTATGACCCAAGGTGTAGAAGTACTTTTTTCTTTTATGTATGCTAGTATGTCAGAAGGTGAGGAAAATAGTCTTTTTCTTGTACTCTATATGCAGTATGCCTGTAGATGTCTAAAAGCGTCTTTTACTTTTACCATATAAGGAATTTGTCTGGAAGGTGTGGACAGGTGTCTTTTACTTTTACTGTATACCTGGTATGCCTGAAAGTTTGGAAATGTGTCTTTTTCTTTTACTTTATGTCAGGTGTAGAGGTGTGATAAAGTGTCTTTTCTTTTTACAAATTTTTGTAAATGTCTTTTACTGTAAACCCAGTATGGCTGAAGGTGTGGACAAGTCTCTTTTACTGTAAACCCAATTTGCCTGAAAGGTGTGGACAAGTGTCTTTTACTGTAAACCCAATATGGCTGAAGGTGTGGACAAGTGTCTTTTACTGTAAACCCAGTATGGCTGAAGGTATGGACATATGTCTTTTACTGTAAACCCAGTATGGCTGAAGGTGTGGACAAATGTCTTTTACTGTAAACCCAGCATGGCTGAAGGTATGGACAAATGTCTTTTACTGTAAACCCAATATGGCTGAAGGTGTGGACAAGTGTCTTTTACTGTAAACCCAATATGGCTGAAGGTGTGGACAAGTGTCTTTCACTATAAACCCAGTATGGCTGAAGGTGTGGACAAATGTCTTTCACTGTAAACCCAGTATGGCTGAAGGTATGGACAAATGTCTTTTACTGTAAACCCAGTATGGCTGAAGGTGTGGACAAGTGTCTTTTACTGTAAACCCAGTATGGCTGAAGGTGTGGACAAGTGTCTTTTACTGTAAACCCAGTGTGGCTGAAGGTATGGACAAATGTCTTTTACTGTAAACCCAGTATGGCTGAAGGTGTGGACAAGTGTCTTTTACTGTAAACCCAGTATGGCTGAAGGTGTGGACAAGTGTCTTTTACTGTAAACCCAGTATGGCTGAAGGTGTGGACAAGTGTCTTTTACTGTAAACCCAGTGTGGCTGAAGGTGTGGACAAGTGTCTTTCACTGTAAACCCAGTATGGCTGAAGGTGTGGACAAGTGTCTTTCACTGTAAACCCAGTATGACTGAAGGTGTGGACAAATGTCTTTTACTGTAAACCCAGTATGGCTGAAGGTATGGACAAATGTCTTTTACTGTAAACCCAGTATGGCTGAAGGTGTGGACAAGTGTCTTTTACTGTAAACCCAGTATGGCTGAAGTTGTGGACAAGTGTCTTTTACTGTAAACCCAGTGTGGCTGAAGTTGTGGACAAGTGTCTTTTACTGTAAACCCAGTGTGGCTGAAGGTGTGGACAAGTGTCTTTTACTGTAAACCCAGTATGGCTGAAGGTATGGACAAGTGTCTTTCACTATAAACCCAGTATGGCTGAAGGTGTGGACAAGTGTCTTTCACTGTAAACCCAGTATGGCTGAAGGTGTGGACAAGTGTCTTTTACTGTAAACCCAGTATGGCTGAAGGTATGGACAAGTGTCTTTCACTATAAACCCAGTATGGCTGAAGGTGTGGACAAGTGTCTTTCACTGTAAACCCAGTATGGCTGAAGGTATGGACAAGTGTCTTTTACTGTAAACCCAGTATGGCTGAAGGTATGGACAAATGTCTTTTACTGTAAACCCAGTATGGCTGAAGGTGTGGACAAGTGTCTTTCACTGTAAACCCAGTATGGCTGCAGGTGTGGACAAGTGTCTTTTACTTTCTCTGCATACCCAGCATGCTTGAACTCTTTCAGTCCCAAGGAACGTATCATATGTTCATAGTTTTCTACCTAGAAGCCCAGTGAACACAAGATACGCTGATTGTACATCTCAGTTCACTACCTCTTGAGCTTCTAATGCTAGTCTCTCTGGAACTGAAAGAGTTGAGACATGAGTAAATCTGCTGCACTTACTTATTCAGTTGTTCTCTATGCCAGGTGGGCCTTGCTGTTGTAAACGGACAATTGATGGCTATCGGAGGCTTTGACGGAACCACATATCTGAAGACAGTGGAAATCTATGACCCCGACCAGAACTGCTGGAAGATTGTCGGAAGCATGAACTACCGGAGACTGGGTGGTGGTGTCGGAGTGGTCAAGCTGCCGCAGAGTGACACACATCTGTGGTGATGATTTGTCATCTTTTCACATCACTGGCATCATTTGTCAACACTACATTTCATTTGTTTCTTCTGAACTTATTTTGTCTTATTAAATTTCCTAAGTTTTGTCTTTTATGTCTCACCAGGGTCTCCATGGCATTGAAAACTTTGCTGTACATACCTCTTATCGTGCATGCTCCATGGCACAGTCTTTAAGCAGTTTGACTTACGCCCACCTTAATTCAACCTCCATGGTTTTAAGCATTTGACCTCGAATACCTCCCTTTAAGCCGAATACTATGAAGGTTATGTCTTCACTTTGTGACTATGTCCTTTGTTTTATCTAATTCTTCTTCTCATTCACTGGCTGTCAACTCTGGCACAGAGTTCTGGGTGTTCATCCACTTCTAGACTTTTTGTCTTGTTCCGTTCCAGAATTTGAGTTTTATGTGCTCATCAGTTTTACAGATCTGGCTAATTTGTATGCAGATGGTTTGTTCCTTGTCTTTCGGGCAAATGCTCTCCAGCTTCAAAGGAAACATACAATTGTTCTTCCAATTCTTCTTCTTTGTTCTTACATTTCTGCTCCTAATTGTTGTACATATCTGCTGTGACAATTCTAATACATAGTTCTGACCATTTGTTTCCTCTCTTGACTGTCGTCCAATTCTGGAAAATGTAATATAATGTTTATATTTAAAAAATGTTCGACTGTGTTCATTATTTCAGCTCATTGATCATACAAATAAAATGTGACATAAGAAACAATGCGTTTATTGTTACAAAAATGATTTACTTGTGGGGTTTTATCAGTTGTAAAATTGCTCTTTCAGCTTTGTTTGAATACATTGTTTTGTTCTAGTCAGTGCCGAGCAAAGGGACATCCAATGTCTTCTTCAGTTTTTTCATGATAACTACTTCTTTTTTTTCTACTGCTTTCATCCGATCAAGTAAATACATTGTGCCCATTACAACATGGCTGCGATATTTGCACCTTTAGGCCGACAGATCAAACCTGTGCAGGCATTTGTCTGGGTTAGCCTTCCCTAATGTCATCTGAGAGTATTAGGAATTACTCTTCAACCGGTGGTTCACAAACTGGTCCATAGATATTTCCAGATCATCAGCCAGAAATATATGCCCAAGCCTATAATGGCTGCCTAATTCAGGACCTACATTGCTGCTGAGTTAGTGAGACACCGCATGCGGAAGTGTAGTACCCGAAGTATAAGCTGTTTCTTATGAAAACAAGTGCAATTGAACGGACATTACTTAATGATGACAACCCATCTCATGGAAAAACAGTTCTCCAACAAGAAGGAAATCTACTCACAGGGAAGGAAGCAGCGACTCTGATGGCCCGAAACTATGAGAAAGAAAGCTCATATTCAGTAACCCTGGAGCAAAAGAAAGCAGTCCGAGATGGGATAAACTCCATATTCAAAAAAGCCTCTTGTGAGCCATGCATGGAGACAGACATCACTCTAACTGAGCTACTAAGAGCAATGAAAAAACTCAAGTCAAAAAAGGCACCTGGCCCAGACGAAGTTTCAAACGACATGCTCAAACATATGGGTCCAGTAGCACAAAACATCTTACTCCAGATATACAACTATAGCTGGAAACTAGGCAGAGTCCCAGATATCTGGAAAAATGCTATAATCCACCCTATCCTCAAAAGTGGCAAGGACAAGAAGGACCCTCAGAGCTACAGGCCTGTCAGTCTGCTAAGCTGCCCCGCAAAACTGATGGAGAGAGTATTAGCCACCAGACTTCAGTGGTTCCTAGAAACCAATCACAAACTGGATCCCGCTCAGACAGGCTACCGACAGCACAGAAGCACTGATGACCAGGTAGCATACCTTACACAGGACATAGAAAATGGCTTCCAGGAAAAGAAGAAAACCCTCACAGTCTTTTTTGATATGTCCAAGGCCTTTGACAAAGTATGGAAGGATGGCTTGATGCTAAAGCTCTTACAAAGTGGAATAAGAGGCAGAATGTACTACTGGATACAAGACTTCCTATCACACAGGCGGGCATCTGTGAAACTAGATGAAGCACATAGTCCCAGATTCAAGCTGAGAGCAGGAGTACCACAGGGTAGTGTACTGTCTCCATTCCTGTTCCTGATTTACATCAACGACCTACCTCAAACTTTACCCAGACATGTATCATTTTCTCTTCATGCAGATGACCTAGCTGTGTGGTACACCTCTGAGTTCATTGGACCTGCTATATCAAAACTCCAGGAAAGTGTGAATAGTGTCGTAAACTGGGCCAACAAATGGGGCCTCGAAGTAAACAGGAACAAAACTGTAGCAACACTCTTCTCATTGTCTACAAAGGAGGAAAAGTTTACATTAAAATTCAACAATGATGCTGTTCCACGCTCCAATACTCCAACCTTCCTGCAGTCGTCTGACATGGAAACATCACATACTAGAAACTAACAAAAAAGCTATGAGAAAACAAGGTGTGATGAAGAAATTGGCAGGCACCACTTGGGGAGCAGACAGTTGCATCTTGAAGCAGGTATACACCGGCACAGTCAGACCAACTCTCGAATATGCATCATCGTCATGGATAACAGCAGCCCATTCCAATAAACAGATACGAGACAAAACGCAAAATAGAAGTCTGCGTACAATTCTGGGAGCCATAAAATCTACACCTATTGTAGAAATGGAAAAGGCAGCCAACATCATCCCCTTAGAAGAAAGAAGAAGGACAAAAGCAATTCTACATGCTGAAAAAATGAAGAGAATGCTAAACCACCCATTACACGAAAAATTGGCAGCCAGGACAAAAAACAGAATAAAGCGCACAAGCCTAAACCATCTAACGAAGGAATTCGGAAAGTCATTCTCTTCATTACTTAACCAACAATGTACACCTGAAGAGCTATCTTTCGATCTCTGGGACTCCGAATTATCGACACTCAATGTGTCAACATCCATCCCGAACCTGGGAAACAAAGATGCTGAGCCCGCTTTAGTGAAGAAAGCACTCACAATGGAACACCTCAACAACATGTTCCCACAGGACAGCTGGACAAGAATCTACACGGATGGATCAGCAAAAGAGGCAACTACGAATGGTGGGGCAGGTGTTTACATAAAACACCCAGATGCCACTACTGTGTCCCTAGCAGCCCCCACCGGACAAACTTGCTCTAACTACAAGGCAGAACTCTCAGCTCTATTGATGGCAGCACAGTATATGAACAACCTGCAAATCACCGCAGGCAGGATAGTTTTTCTCACTGACTCACTGTCAGCTGTACAGGCCCTTGAGTCCAAACCTACCGACAGCACACTACAAAGTCTAACACAGGAACTTGCTATGTTGTCAAATAAGGCAGAAATTCACTTGCAGTGGATTCCGTCTCACTGCGGCATCAAAGGCAATGAAAGCGCAGATGCTTTAGCCAAGGAAGGCAGTAACAAACCACAGACCTACCAGCCACTATCTTTTCCAGAAGTCAAAACTCTCATTAAGAGAAAATCAGAAACAGATTGGAAAAACAACACTGGTTATGACTACGGAAAAGATTTTCTGAGGCACTTGAACAGAACAGACCAAGTCACAGTTTTTCGCTTACGCACTGGACACTGCAGACTCAATAAACACTCATATAAATTAGGTATGAGCCAAACAGCTCTCTGCCAGTCTCTTCGTGCTGAACAGACTCCAGAATATGTCCTGCAAGACTGTCCTCTCCTGGCAGAGCTGCGGAGCGACATATGGCAACACCCAGTAGAACTGACAACTAAGCTTTGGGGAAACCTAAGAGACCTTGAAAAGACATCCCAGTTTATGACCCACAGTGGATTATGCGCATGACCAGAGATCGCTGAAGAAGAAGAAGAAGAACGGACATTATAGCAACATTTTGTCTATCAGAAATTGAATTGAGCTTTAGCCATGTATACTCTCTTGCAAAAGAAAGCTAACACATGTCAAAGTGTATATTTTGAAAATGAATTGCTCAGATTTGATGTAATTGTAATTTTTAACATATTACTGACTTGAAGTTAATAAAGCCAACTGTAGTACTCGTTTCTCATTTGGCTCAGAGAATATGTTTGTACTGTTCAGTCTCATAAAATGAGATTTCATTTTAATATCTGACTTGTAAATAAAAGTAAAGGACCCTTTTCCCTTTTTTTTAAATTTATTGAGCATGTAGGGCTAGACCTGTATTTTAGAAACCAGTAGGCACTTGGTGGATGATGCGGTCAGCACTTGGTGGGTGATGTGGTCAGCACTTGGTGGGTGATGCTGTCAGCACTTGGTGGGTGATGTGGTCAGCACTTGGTGAGTGATGTGGTCAGCACTTGGTGGGTGATGTGGTCAGCACTTGGTGGGGGATGAGGTCAGCACTTGGTGGGTGATGCGGTCAGCACTTGGTGTATGATGCGGTCAGCACGTGGTGGGTGATGCGGTCAGCACTTGGTGGGTGATGCGGTCAGCACTTGGTGGGTGATGTGGTCAGCATCACGATAATTGCGGTTGCTTTTACTTCTCAAACTTTACATAGTACCAGCTAAAGGCTGGGTCGACCTCGGAGCCAAGATCATTTCTGAAATAGTCTGGATCCATCAGAACCCAAACCCACAATATTCTGATCCTCAGACGAGTGTCTAGTCGCTACAATACGACGAGTGTCTAGTCTCTACAATATGGTGAGTGTCTAGTCGCTACAATATGGTGAGTGTCTAGTCGCTACAATATGGTGAGTGTCTAGTCGCTACAATATGGTGAGTGTGTAGTCGCTACAATATGGTGAGTGTCTAGCCTCTACAATATGGTGGGTGTCTAGTCTCTACAATATGGTGAGTGTCTAGTCGCTACAATATGGTGAGTGTCTAGTCTCTACAATATGGTGAGTGTCTAGTCGCTACAATATGGTGAGTGTCTAGCCTCTACAATATGGTGAGTGTCTAGTCGCTACAATATGGTGAGTGTCTAGCCTCTACAATATGGTGAGTGTCTAGCCTCTACAATATGGTGAGTGTCTAGCCT